GGGGGCGATTTAAGCATCGGAGCGAGATTTGAGCTCACCATCATTAGATATAATCAAAATTCCCCTTATCCCCTGTTGCTACTCGTCGTATTCTTAATTTAGATTTTATCATTCCTTAGACCCGCAACTCTTCCGTCATTCTATTCTCATTCTTGGACCTCCTGGGCATATGTCACTCTTAGCCACATATTATCTCGGGGGTTTGTCCACATCCCATCATATTATTTACCAATCTACTTGGTATGAAACTATGGATGGTTTTGGTGCTTGGAATCAGAAAACCGATCAACTGGTTCGCTCGACTCTGCCGAGCTTGTCAAATGTCGGGTACGAATCACAGTTTGCGCTCTTCTGCCCGTAAGGTGATTCTTGATGCGGACTTGGCACGGAGTTCTTCCTGGAGGGCAAGATGTTCGGAGACTTGGATATTGACGTCTTCGGGGCTCGGACAACCCTAAGTGGTTCTGAGCCGGGTCGCCAAATCCCAGGTGAAACCAGATAAAAGTCCACAGCGACAACCCAGGAAGACAAGCCCCTTACTTAGCCAGGCCTTTTGTCGTCCATTGTTTCCAGACAGAACAAGTAGTCTTCTTGAAATGGCTTTCGGAACCATCTATACTCACAACGTATTGGCCCTTTCCCCCCCCCCATCCTTTTCCCACTCCCTCTCTTTGAAGTCCAACCAGAACTAACCCATCCCCATCCCAGCCGAATCCCCGCTCGACCGCAATCCTCGCCGTCGCCCGCGCGCAGGGGATCGAACTGGACATCGTGTACGCCGACAAGACCGAGAACCCGGAGAACTATGCGAGACTCCTTCAGGTCAACCCGCTGGGCCAAGTTCCGACCCTGGTCGGGAATGACGGCCACGTGCTGACCGAGTGTATCGCGATCGCGCTGTACATCACAGGCCAGAGTGACACGACCCCGCTGCTGGGCGCCACGCGGCGCGAATTCTACGAGATCGTCAAATGGATGTCGCTGGTGAACGCGGACCTGCTGCCCGCTGTCGGGGCGCTCATTCTGCCCTTGCTCGGCAAAGGGAAGCCGGTCAATGGGCCCCAGGACTGCGGCGAGTGCCTGCGCATCGTGCGTCGCGACTGCCGCTTGCTCGACGACCATCTTCGGCAGCCCCAGCACCGCTACCTCGTCGGCGCCCAGATGACGCTGGCTGATCTGTTTGTCGTCGGCATGCTGTTCGGCGCCGTCATGGTCCTCCACCCCTTGCTGCGCGCAGACTACCCCCGCTTCTGGGAGTGGTATTATGAGGTCTACGAGACGCCAATGTTCAGGGCCGTGGCGGGCGAGTTGCGCTTGCTGGATATTCCCATGGCGACGGTGACAGGCGAGGCGGCCGAGTAGAGATATTTTGGTTTCGCCTGGGTTGACACCGGTGGTGGGGAGTGGTTTTCCACTCGTCAAAGGACATACCTACAGCACTGTCAGGTAATTAGGAGAGAATGAGGCATCCGGATTGGCTTTTGACCACGAACATAGAACATTCTTTTCATAACGATAGAGTCCTCTGTTTAGGAGTTTCGAGTGTATCTGCTGGATACGGACTTCGCTGCAACAGCATGCAGGTTGTAATGGTACATCATTTCCTTCGATATGGTAATGGAGAGATACAATACAAAATACCCAATACACAGAAGAGTAAAAGCAGTTGCAAATGAATTATTGGCAGTTGTTGACAGCGCAGTCGGCATCTCAGCCTTGTTTTTGCCCAATTCTACCCACAGGACAAGAGTGTTGAGTTTTACCCAGGCCACAGAAGATATGCCCCGATGTCACCAGTTTCTCTGTCTCTGTGGGATCGAAAATCCGGGACTGTCTAGGTTCCCAGAGCGGGGGTACAAGGCAAGGAAGATGGGCGAGATCTTTAAGAAATCGAAAGCAAAAGTGTGAAATTAAAATGAATCTCTTTCGCGATAGATGCGCCAGAGACTTTTTACTCCCCAATCTCAGGCTGCTCCTCCATCCACCGTCAAGGACTTTCCATTTACCCATTCACCCTCCTTGCTGGCCAGAAAGCACACCACGCGTGCAATGTCCAAGGGAAATCCATTACGCATCAAAGGTGAAGCATGAGCGGCCATCTGAAAAACAATCAATATCAGAAAAGAGAGAGCGCGCGCGAAGGAGTCGGATTTACCATACCTGTTGCCGCTCCTCGGCGGTATACTTCTCGCCATTCGGGATGTAGTGGTGGGAAACCGCGTGGAACATGTCGGTGACCGTGCCGCCGGGGGCCACGGCGTTGACAGTGATCTTTTTATCACCACAGTCCTTGGCAAAGACACGTACGAAGGAGTCAATTGCTCCCTTGGAGCCAGAGTAGAGGGAGTGCTTGGGGACACTGAAGTCGTGGGCAGTGTTGGAAGACATGAGGATAATGCGACCGCCCTCGTTCAGGTGGCGGTAGGCCTCTCGGGCGACGAAGAACTGGCCGCGTGTATTGAGGCTGAACACGCGATCGAACTCTTCCTCGGTGACCTCTCCCAGGTGACCGAAGCTAACGACCCCGGCGTTGCTACACACAATGTCCAGTCCACCAAAGTGCGCCACGGCTTCGTCCATCAGCCTCACCGTCTGCGACACCTCCCGCACGTCCGCCTGGATCGCGATCGCGGCCGACCCCAGGCTCTGGATCTCCGCCACGACCTTCTCTGCTGCTGCCGAGGAGTTCGCGTAGTTTACCACCACGCTGGCGCCCAGGCGGCCCAGTTCAACCGCGATCGCCGCGCCAATCCCCCGGCCAGAGCCAGTAACCAAAGCGACCTGCCCGGCGAGGCAGTAGGGAGCAGAAGAGACAGTCATTGTGTGATGTGTCCGAAGTGAGGGAAGATATGTGGAATGTTGCGAGTTTAGGAGGAGGGGGGAAGATGTGCTTGGAAGATAGACAATTTCTGGTTTGGGGCTTCCATTCCCCACCTCTCCTTATACGTCGTCGGCTCAGCCGGGGGAAAGGGAGGGGGGGGCAGCATATGAGTCTGTTCGAAGATTGAATATCACACCTCCATGCGGACCTCATTAGATGTCCATTAGATATCCAGAGGAGGGTGATTTCCGTCCAAACAAAGATCGGGGAAGCATTCGGGGAAGGTAAAGAAGGGTGGTCCTCCGAATGAGAGACTCAGTGGGACTCGGGCGTCGCGGGGGGTTCGGGCTCAACGCTTGCCCCGAGGCCCGACAATCCGGCAACCCGCTATCCTCTCATGTCACGAACTTCAGTTCATAGCACGATGCTTGCTGTTTATGACTTCTTCGTACTCGGTGAAGCTTTAAGTATCAGAATTCTGTAAAGACGTGATTGTATAAGCCGGGTGCTATAAGACGGAAGACAACCACAACAATTCAACACAACACCGCACATATACAAGCAAGCATTCGTTATGTTTGCTTACTTAGAGGGATTTGAGACGTCTCTGGCTCGCACTGTCAGTTTGGCAGGGCTGGTGCTGGTGACTGCAGTACTACTGGCCATCATCGTCAGCGCTGTTTACAATCTGTTCTTCCACCCATTGCGTGCATATCCAGGTCCGCTGTTGTGGCGCATGACTAGCCTGCCATGGTGTTATCACCAGATGAAAGGCGATCGCACCCACCTGCAAGCTCAGATGCACTGGCGGTATGGAGACGTGGTACGCATCCGGCCCAACGAGCTGAGCTATACGAGCTATCAAGCCTGGGATGACATCTTCGTCCATCATCCCAACCGGCCCGAATTCCCCAAAGATCCTCGTCGTCAACGCCGGAACCCGAACAAGCTCGAGGTGGCTCCTCCTCCTCCTTCTCCTCCTCCTCCTCCCCCTCCTCGTTCTTCTTCTTCTTCTTCTTCTTCTTCTTCTTATCTTTTCCCCCAAAGGCTCTGCGTGAATCTAACTCACTAACGTTCTGAGGGATAATTTCCCTATCCGTCACAGCATATACTCAGCGCTCCCAAAGCCGACCATTCTCGTTACCGCCGGCTATTGGCAGGGGCCTTCTCCGAGCGCGGCCTTCGCGCTCAAGAACCGCTGATCAACCAGCATCTCGACCTGCTCCTCCAGCGCCTCACCGCGTTGGCCACTGCCGGCGAGTCGGTTAACTTCACGGAGTGGTACAACATGATGGTGTTCGACGTGATCGGGGACCTGGCATGGGGGGAGTCCTTCCATTCGCTGCGTGAAGGAAAGCTGCACGAGTGGATCCCAGAAATTGCATTAACAGTCAAGTTCGCGATGCAGTCCAGTCCGCTGCTGGAGTACGGACTGGGATGGCTGATCCCCCTGTTCGTCTCGCGCACGGTGCGCGAGCAGCGCGCAGCGAATTACCGGTTCTCCGAGGCCAAGGTGGCCCAGCGTCTGCGGGTAAAGGGGGCCCGCGGCGACTTCTGGGACCGGGTGGTAATCAAGAGCGCGGACGACAACCGCACCGGCGAGGGAATGACGCGCGGCGAAATGCTTAACAATGCCAGTATCCTCGTGCTCGCCGGCTCCGAAACCAGCGCCACCACCCTCTGCGGTATGACCTACTTTCTGCTGCGCAACCCGGCCGCCTATCGCCGGCTGGTCGCCGAGATCCGTGGCGCCTTCTCCGCCCGCGCTGATATCACCATGGTCTCCCTCGGACATCTGCCGTATCTTAATGCGGTGTTTCAGGAGACCTTGCGTCTGTACCCCCCAGTGCCAACGCACAGCCAACGGGTTCCGCCCAAGGGTGGTGCGCTGGTGTGCGGGCAATGGATCCCGGAAAATGTGAGTTGCGCGCCGCTCCGCTGCCTTACCCCTTTCCCCCTTCCCTCCCTCGCCCCCTCCTACACAAAGGATGACTGACTGCAGTCATTGCTGATAATGCGAAAAATGGACAAATAGACTAGCGTCGGAATTTCCATGATGGGGGCCTGCCTTGATCCGGAAAACTTCCATCGCGCGCGAGAGTTTTGCCCGGAACGCTGGCCCGAAGACGCCCCGGTTGAGTTCCGTCAGGACAACAAGGCCGTCTACCAGCCATGGAGCATGGGGACACGCAACTGTCTGGGGCGCAACCTGGCACTCGCGGAAATTCGGCTGATCATGGCCAACCTGCTGTGGACCTTCGATCTGGAAATAGACCAAGATCGCATGGGAAGGAGAGCAGGTGAGTGGATCGACCAGAAGATTTGGGGGGTCTGGTTCAAGAAGCCGCTCTGGGTCTCGTTGAGACTGGCTCGAGACCAGGTTTCATCATGATAAACGGGCTGGAGGAAGATTGACCCCTGATATCGTTGGAAGAGAAGGAGGAGTGCAACTCCGAGTTTCCTCCGGGAGAGAAATAGTCGCGAGACTGGTGACCATGGAGCTTAGTTCGATGCATGTATAGTCTCGAAGTGCCTTGAAGCTTCTATATCGATGGTATGATGTGTGGTGATGCTCTCTCTGAGACATAGGGTCAGTAATAATTACCGATTCTTTTCTCCAAATTGAGATTGTCGCCAGAAGGCAAGGGTGTTGATATCTAGCTATGTATATATATTCATATACATATAGTTATGGAAAAAAAGATCGTTGAGGTCAAAGCGTAGGAACAAGTCATGCTTCGGTTAGCGTTAGCCGTTTGCTTCTCCCACTTTCCTCAAAGAATCACGTTCTCTGCCCCAATACCTCGGCTCTCTTCACCCCTCAATATAACACAAGCAATACCTCCAGAACACTCTTTCCTCCTCCCGGACCCCGAGTGGACTGAGTGGGCCGCTACTACTACTCATCCTCCTCGTCACCAGGCCCGCCTTGCTTCTCCTTGACGCTTTTCCACTCGAGTGCACATGCGCCCAAGGCGGAGAGTGCGGCCATGATGGTGCCGACGATGAACACCCAGCGCAGAGCGGTGTTATACTCCACCAGGACGGCATGCAAGTCTTTGGTCGGAACAATGCTGCGCAGATCGGTGGCGCCGGTGTTGATAATGGTTTCGGGGTCGAGGTCGTCAAGGACGTGGGTCAGGCCGGCAATCAACTTATGGTCAAAAACGTTTTCGCCCACGGAGACGAAGATGGTACCGCCCAGCTGCTGGCAGAAGAAGACAAGGGAGACGCCGACGGGGATGTCGCGGGGCTGGAGGACGGTCTGAACGGCGATGGCGGCGTGCTGCATGCCTAACCCGATCCCGAAGCCCAGGATAATCTGGTAGCCAATCCACATGCCGGCGCTCGTGTCAACGTGCCACGTGGAAATCAGCCCAGCGCCTAGGGGCATCAGACACGAGGAGGCAATGGTGAACGGGGTGTAGTATCCCAGCCGGCCCACCAGCTGGCCGGACAACGTGCTGCCGGCGACCAGCGAGAGCACCAGCGGCAGGGTGTCGATGCCGGACTGCACAGCGGTGCGGTCCTTGATCGCCTGCAGCCAGATGGAAAGGTAGTAGAGCAGCATCAACATCGTCGATGCCAGACAGAACATAAACCACATCGCCGCCACGACGCTGCGGTTCCCAATCACCCGCGGCTGAATCGTCGCCGTCGCCGGGGTGTACACCTCGACCATCACCCAGATTATCAGGCAGAGGCCAAACATCACGAACAGCAGGATGACGCGCCAATTGCTCCAGGCGTACTTGCTGCCACCCCACTGCAGGGCTAGCAAGAGGCATATCAACGCGGAGAAGAGAAAGAGTTCGCCGAGAAGGTCGAGCCTGGCCAGCTTCTGCCGAAGCGTCAGCCCCGGGTGCATCGCGGGTGTGGGCTTCAGCGCCAGAAAGATGACCAACATGGCGGCACCCCCGATCGGCAGGTTGATGTAGAAACACCAGCGCCAGTTGACCTCGCTGGTAAAGGCGCCTCCCAGCAGGGGGCCCACCACGGAAGAGGTGCCCAGTACTGCGCTGAAGAAGCCGTTATACAGTGGCCGCTTGTGCAGTGGCACCGCCGACATCATAAGCACGATAGCCCCGGACATGATACCCGCACTCCCCATGCCGGCGATCGCTCGCCCCAGAATAAAGGCGAGTGAGTTGGGTGCCGTGGCGCAGATCAACGACCCGATTTCAAAGAGAAAGACCAGCGCCAGGAAGACGTACTTGGCCGGGTAGAAGCCGTACACCTTGCCCCACAGGAGCTGGAAGCAGCATGCGGTTACCATGAACGCACTGCCATACCACCCGATATCGCCCAGGCTGTTGAACTCGTTGGTGATCTGAGGAATCGCGGTTGCAATGATCGTACGGTCCTAGATGTTGTGCAGGTGTTAGCGCAGGTTAGTCCTCAATCCCACAAAGTCGTTATCTCCGTAATGCGTCCAAAACATCAAACGAAAAAAAAGCTCCTCACCAGCGACATGATAAAGATGGCACACAGGATACAGATCATAATGAGGGCGACCTGTACAGGCCCAGGATATTCGGGCTCAGGCGAGTCGGCCGACTCCTTGAGACTCGAGGGGCTTCTCTCCACCTTGCTCTCCTGCGACATCTCGACCTCTGCGGTGTCCTTGAAGTCCTCCGCCTGGTCGCCGGCGGGGACATCTTTGCTAGTCATTGCTATATTGGAGAGGTGAGCGGATGCGATGAAGATAGAGGTAATAGTTGACTCGATTCTCTTGCTGAGCTGTGGCTACTCCCGACGCATCTACAGACTCTATTGGCAAGAAATTAGGACTGTGGTGGATACAAGAAACAATCACGTTGGGGTCAACCGAAAGTAATCAACGCCCAGCCGGCAGCAAGAACACTCAAAGAATGATATAACTGGACGGGTGCAGGTGCACAGGAGGAGAGGAGAGAACGGCATCAAGAACGGGCGTAGGGAGGCAAGGAGCGAAGACGCAAATTACCAACCAGCGTCGGGATTCGGGGCGTCGGGGATTCAGAGGGCCGATGGTGGGATCGAACTCCGATGTCCGGCCGGACAAAAAAGCAAGCTGAAACCTGTCACATGTGATTCGATAACTTGAGATCTGAGATGTGCGCTATTTACAGTTGAGACTTTCGGGGGCGGAAGGCGGCGTGGACGTAGATACTGGGTGTGCACACACCCCTCTCTGGCCACGAGAATTCCAACTCGCCAAGCCCTTACAAGCAGCCACAAGCTACTTGGTGCCTCTGTTTCCTCACGCTACTTACTTATTTGGAA